TATATTTTGGTGTAAATATGAGAATGAAATAAGTTATTCGTCAAAAATGATAATTTTGGGAATGATTTTGGATTTTTGTGGTATTAAAATAGGCAGTAAATTGGTTTAGAAATCACAAAAAATACCAAAACTCTTGGGTGTGCTTATATATGCACATATATGTTATTTTTAAAATATTTTGGGTATAAAATACATAGGAAAAAATTGGGTATCAATAGTATAACACCAATTTCCACACCAGCTTACAATGCACCCCTTTTGAAGCACTATACGGATACTCACCCCCACAGTTGTCATTGGGCCCCTTATTGGAGAATGTAGTACCAGCTGCTAAATATACAGTAATGCATAGACAACAAATGCAACAGCTGTTAAAGGACAACCTCACTAAAGCACAAGAGAGGATGAAATACTATGCTGACAAAAGGAGAATAGATAGGGAGTTTCAAGTTGGGGATTTGGTCTATTTGAAATTGCAACCCTATAGACAAATATCTCTAGCATTGAGAAGAAACTTGAAGCTGAGCTCTAAGTACTATGGACCCTACAAGGTCCTGGCAAGAATTGGCAAAGTGGCTTACAAACTCGATCTTCCTCATGAATCTAAGGTCCATCCTGTGTTTCATATATCTTTGCTCAAGAAGACGATGGGAGATAGAGTAGTAGTGCATACCACACTACCACTCACTAGCGAGGATGGTAAGTTCTTGGTGAAACCAGTGGCAATCCTGCAGAGGCAGCTTATTAAGAGGGACAACTCTACCGTGGTAAGGGTACTGGTGCAATGGTCAAATCTCCCTCCAAAAGATGCCACTTGGGAGGACTATCACTACATCAATGCAAGGTTTTTAGAATTTGATTCCAATCATTGAGGACAAGGATTGCTTAAAGGGGAAGAGTATGTCATGACCTATTAAGAAGAAACATCAGCTGGGATTCGAAAGGCAAATGAGAATAGGCAATAACAGAAAATAGGAAAGGGAGTAACAAAAATTTGAATAAACGGCTAGGATTAGATTAGGCATTAATGAACTCCAAGGGCTACGATTTGGCCACGTCAGCTGAAGGGTTGTTATAACCAACTTCAACAGAGTGGAGAAGGCATCGTTCATCAGGGTATTTTTCTTCTCTCTCTTCGATTTCTCTCTTCTCTCTTCTCACCCTCTTTCTTCTTCCTAACAACTCTTCTTCTTCTTCTCTTCTCTTCTTCAGGAATCCGCAGCCATGGAGTCTAGTTAGGGAGTAGTTAATTTTCATTCAGCTTTGTAATCGTTTTTTCTCTTATCAATATAAGTAGAAAATTTCCTCCAAAATCATTCAATTTCCATTATTGTTGTTTATTTCCTTATTTCAATTGAGTTCATTACATAATTTAATCTGGCTTGAGTGCCAACCTAAGAATCAAACCATCATAAATAACGATTTAAATAAAAGTTACCTATAGTCAAGTTGGAAGTGCAGGGAGATTGCTTCAAAATACAGAATAATCCTTAAATGACTTGGTCTTTTAATGTGATCCTTTCAGAGATTTTGACATGTGAACCTGGAATGGAGTAATATGGAAAAAGAAATAATAAAGGGTGGTTGGTGGAGGCTTTTTTGTCGAACATATTGCTAGGGTTCTTTTTATAGATGTGTTTTTCTAACCTAAGTAGGAGTTTATATTAGATTTAATAATAAAATTTTAATTAGTTGATTTTAAACTCTTAAATATTAAAAGAATAATTAAATGTCTATTTTGTCCAGTGTGAACTCTATTTTAAAAGGATAAAAAGACGAACGACATTTCGCTAAGGGCCTTCGCGCTTTTAATATAGTATAGATATGCATATTTTGACAGAGGCAGATCTGGGATTTAAATTTTATGGGTTTAACTTTCAAATTTTTTAATATTGAACCCACTATATTTTTTAAAGTTATGGGTTCATATATACTATTTTTACAACATATATTCCCAATCTTCTTTGGGAGACATATCTTTGTGCATTGTGGTAGAGAAATTAATCATATACCACACATCAAAAGATAGTAAAAATATTTGGTTTCTGATCCTAAACCAATTGTGAGGGGAGGACTTATCATATATTGTTAGTTTGATGCATACAAGTGCTGCTGTATGCAATTTAGAATATCTTAGACCAACACATGAAGCTTTGTTCTCATAAGCAATAGTTTAGCCATTAGTAGGAGGTATTCATTGCTAAACCAGCTTGGATATAAACTAGTATTATAAAGATGAACTGTCTTGATTTCATAATCTGAAAGTTATGCTCTTAATTGATAAAAACAATCTCAAATGCCAAACTTTAGGTTGACAATAAACATACATGTAACCATCTTATATATGCATCTATAAGTGGTTCACATGACAGGTGAATGAGCCCATATTCACCTTTTATATATTTCAGAATAAGGGGTTTTAATCCCAACTTTAGCTGGTAGAATCAATTTATTATGAGAACAAGCAACACAGGAGAATTCTTGAAGAATCTTCTAGTTTTTCAGTATATGCTTATCTGAATTCTCAAATAGCTCATTTAAAAATGGCAAATGAAAACTTCAAGTTTATCATGGCATGTGCTATCCCTTAGTAAACTTCTGGTTTACTATGACATAAACTTTTTACATTAGTAAACTTCTGATTTACTGTGGCTACTTTTGTATAAGTAAATTTCTGATTTACTATAGCTGCTTTTGCATTAGTAAACTTCTGGTTTACTGTGATACATGATATAGTACAAATTGAAGAATAAGGCGGGTAACTTCTCACATACTTATTTACCCCCCATGATTGTAGAAACATGAAGATTTTCAATCTTTCAATCATTTGTAGTCTTAGTATGATTGTCATTTGTATTAGTAAACTTCAAGTTTACTACAACATATGTTTTGACCATCATATAATATGAATGACATATTTGTATATAAGCTCTTCAAGAGACTTCATTCATTATCCACAATCTAATATTTATCGGACACTACTAGTGTCATATGTCTTTTCGACAAATAGTTAGCTCTTCAGGAGCTTTTGATAAATTTTATACTACCAAATATTGCTCAGACAGTTCACCAATTTTGTGAAAAATGTCTCCTTCAGGGAGAAACGCCATTAACATCTGAATATTTTATATCAAAGCGGTAACCACATAGTCATTACGTCCTTCAGGGATAGATACACGAGTTGTTATTTCCTTCGGGAAACTCGATATTATATTAATGTGGTTGTAGCAGAAAACATTCTACAAGAATGCTTTTACCTTAGAATGATACTTAATAAAATTATCCAAGATTTTTTACGTACAACATGTACGTGCGACAATGATCTTTATACCACAAAAATGATATTTATATCATTTGTTATTCTACCTCTTCAGGAGGTGAGTTGTGGTATTTCTTCATTCACTCCAGGGAATGAAAATGTGCTTCAAAAATAACTTTGAATAGCTTATTATTTTATTTAAGCACAGAAAGATACACTTTCGGAATATTTTCTTGCTTCAGAAGAAAAATTCAATTATTTTACTTCTTCATGAGCAAACTTAAAATACAAAATATTGAGTATATATTCCCTCAATCATCTTACCTCTTCTGGAGGTGAATCGTAATATATTTACATTAATAGCGCGCTCATATTTACGAGCTTTATTAATATTGTCACATTCACTTCAGGAAATGGATTAATATTTATCAAAAGTTCTCATCCTTCAGGGAACAAAACATAATTATCTGAACGCGCATTAATCACACAAATTGTGTGATGTCTTAGAAGCTCTTTTACGATAATGCTATTTCAGGAGCAAATCAAGGCATGCATGTACTATAGAGAATATTTCTCTAGCTTATCTTCAATTGTAACCATAGAAAGCCTAAATTATCACTTCTGGTGGCCATAGGTATATACCACTTCTGGTGGTTAACAAAAATTTAGTTACAATGAGATATACAAAACATAACCACTTCTGGTGGTTGTATATTTCTTGCAAACTCTGTTGGAGTATAAGTGGGTCTAACAATGTCATCCACTTTATAATTTCCTATGCAATATTACTCTTTTGGAGTAAAATTAAAATCTTAATTCGAAAACGAATAAGTGAAAAATGAACATAAATATATACAAATTATAGTGTTTTAAAATTCATAAAATGCTCCAGAATCTCGTCCAATGATTATGGCTCACTTACTAAGTTCCTAAGTACCTTTTTTATTTTATTTTAATAGTAGTAGCATACGTAGCAAGTAAAACGCATAACTTATCTTTAATGGTGTCTGCTAGACCCATCATATCAAGATGAATTTCAGCATCAAGCATCCAAGACACATAGTTTTTGCCCGATATATCCAATACTACAAATTCACATTTAGAAAGATTTGACATTATTTATAAAAAGAAAATTTGTACCTTTAATACTTTCAAAGTATTTGCTCGAGATGACAGAGTCTCGTGCTGATAACGTGTTATAAAATAAAGACTTTAAAGTAAAGAAACCAAAGAGAAGTAGAGAGAGGTTGATATATTATTCAACTTTCAAACTGATGTACATAATGAACTGAAAACTCCTCTATTTATACAAGAAAGGAAGCAACTGCGAGGCTTTTCAGGAAGCAGCTGCGAGGCTTTTCAGGAAGCAGCTGCGAGGCTTTTCTTCAGTCGCTTGTCAGCTGTCTGCATGAGCTGCTTGCAACTTACCTGTTTAATAAGAAGTTGCTGCAAATCATTTCATTCAGTTGCTTGCAACCTGCCTGCATCAGCTGCTTGTAGATAAACTTCAATGGAGTACTAAATGGGAAAGTTATCTATAGCGGAGTATTAAATGAACATCCACAATATAATTATTTTCATAACATAATTGAATTTGTAATGTAATTTATAGACATGTGAATTAATTTGATCCAAGAATATAAAATAACTAAAAATAGAAATAAATTGATTAAACAAACTTGAATAAAATACAAGCTTGGCCGTAGAATAAACTTCTCCGAAAGCAATACCGAGAGCAATATGAAGAACAAAAAAAAGAATGTTATTTAATAAAATAAGAGCTAGTTTTACCTTTTTTGCATACAAAATGTTTCGTGTCCAACAATGGATACAAATCCTCCTATTTATATGAGACAAGTTTCTCAAATCAAGCTCTTATTTAATATGAATAAAACCCCTCTTGATGTTTGCATAATGGTTGGGCGTTAATACAAAGATTCTTCGTAAAGGATGATCATTGAATGCTTTCTTTTCCAACTGATATCTTCCTTTCGAATCCTCGTAAAAAGTTCCAATGCCTTCGGAACTTATACATCACCGGTCACATGTTCATAATCGGTACCAACATCTTGCCGACTTATATCCTACCTATATTTGCTTACACGTGTCGACTCGTCGAGCATCCACCTGTCATTTATCAATTTTACTCCATACAGAAAGCTCAATGGCTACAATGAAAGCGATTCTAAAAAATAATGTATTGGCTTACTGATGTTCGGCCAAAATGCTATACTTTTAGTACATCACTTGCTCTATATTTTGTTGGTTTAGTGATTAATTGTGCGACATTTGAGCTAAATTGTGTTCTTTTATGTGTAGGAGCATCAGAAGGAAGAGTCGAATGAAAGTTGCACAAAAAGAGGACAAAAATGCAAGAAAAGAGCACCAAAGCATCAAGTACCCAAACCATGCTACAAACCAAGTAAAGCCATCTCTATAGCCTGCCTTACCGTGTTACAGACCAAGTAAAGCCAACTCTATAGTCAGCTTGACCGGGCTACAGGAAGGCATAGCCAGCTCTGTAGCCAGGCTGACCGTGCTATAAGTTTGGCCTCGCGAGGTCTATAGCCCGGTAATTAAAAGTCATAGGTTAAAAGACTCCAACCTGGATTTGGACTGAGGGATTTTGGCCCTAACATATAAATACTCCCCAATCGAGTGGAGAAGGAGTAGGATATTATTGGGGAGGCAAGATGGCTATGAGAACACTTGGAAGTAGGGGTGTACATAGGTCGAGTTGGTTTGGATTTTATAATTACCAAATCAAACCAATTGTGTCGGATTATTAAATCCAAAGACTAAACCAAACCAATAAAACTCGAGTTTATCAATGTCGAGTTTTCTCGGATTTTCGGGTTATTCGAATTTTTTTGGGTTTTTTCCGGTAAAATCTTCGTAGAACCAAACATATAAATTGTGCTCAAAACATTTCTTTAATCCTAGTAAGATACAACTATATAAAGTATTTTCCAAGAAAATAATACAAAATATGAGATGTATCATGACATTATCCTAAAATATTAAACAATAAAGACAATAAAATTATGTAATATAAATATTGCTAATTAAAAAGCCATAATAAAAATAAACATAATCTCAAAGTACTAAGTCATGCTAAAATAAGTAAACTAATAAGGGAGTATTAATTACATGACTAAACGCTAAAGAAAAAATAAAAATATGTTATGCATTTTTATCTAAATTATTGCAAAACAAAAAACAGGTATTCAATACACTCCCGTTTGTGGTATTTAATTGAATGTCTTTTGTTAGCATTAATATTGATTTGATTTTGGTTTTGACTTTTGTTAGCATTATTTAATTTACCAGTATTAATAGCTATAAAATTTATTGCAACATTCAAAAGTTCTAAGTCCAACCTTGAAATAATATCTTAAAAGATAAATTATGAAAAGTTTTAAGAAATATTTATAAATTACATCACAATAAATATATTGTCACACCTCCTTTTTTACCACCCTGGAAGGGTATAAGGGAGTTTTTTCCAATTTAAGTGACAATCGAAACAGGATTATTTTATTTAAAATTCAGAGTCGCCACTTGGGATAATTTATGGTGTCCCAAGTCACTGGTTTTAAATCCCGAATCGAGGAAAGATTGTCGCTATTTTACAGTCCGCAAACACAGAAATCCGGGTAAGGAATTCTGTTAACCCGGAAGAAAGTGTTAGGCATTCCCGGGTTCCGTGGTTTTAGCACGGTTGCTCAACTGTTATTATTGGCCAAATTATCTGATTTTAAGACATTTTAAAACCTATGTGCATTTTTAACTTTTTAGCCGCTTTTAATATTCTGAAATAATTCATGATCGTCATACACTTGTTTGTTTTTGAAAACACATCGTAAACCATGCTACATGAAATGCACACGCGGTTCACGACATGTTTATTTAACATTGTTGGAAATTGGAGCCGGGTCACATGAAATGTACACCCGGATTTGGAAATTATGTATCACGACCATTCCACGGGAACCGTACCCATAGTTGTGATGATCCATTAATCGCACCTAAAGCAAACTACGAGGTTTATGAATCATTTTCTAAACTACTTTGAAATTGCGCGTGAAAGGCCTGCTATTATGGAACACTTTTGCTAAAAGAGATTTCATGCTCATATACTTTTTTAACTTTTATTTCATGTATTTGACCAAGCTCAATCCTAAAACATGAGAACCATTAATTACTAATGGGCTTTGGTCATTCCCCACTCCCACAAATCGAGAATATTCTACTTCTAAAAGATAATCACTCAATATTCCTAAAGTAACAAACAATGACTTCCAAAAATAGGAACCAAACGAGGAAAAAAAAGAAGTAAAAAAATGATAGAAAAGTTTTGCACTTATAATATGAATATTAGCTTAATACTAGCAGAAACTATTGAAGCAAAAATGACGTAACTAGTCCATACAATCAGCAAAACATCAAGCAATTGACCAAACAATTTAATAAAGTTCTTTTGAAAAATTTAATCTCAAGTCAATAGGAAAGTAGGAAAAAGCTTTCAAATAGCCTGTTATACTAACTTTCTAATCACTCGTACTCATTTCAGGCTTAAACAACACATGGGAAAGGATGAAGATATGGACCTTAAATAGAAGATTCCATCAAAGTAACTTTGTTTGGAAAAGTGCTTTGGATGGCAGAAATCAACAACCAAACATAGCACTCACAAAAACTAATTAACAAGCAGTATCAACAAGAAATCACACACATAAAGTTAAAAAAGGGTAAACGAATAGAGAATAGAGAAGAATGGACCTCTGGAGTAAAATCTCTTAAATTAGTGTAGAAGAATCCGTAGATACAGAACCCCGGCTCTGAAAAATCAATCGAGAAGAGCAACACCAAAGACGATCCGTGAACCATGATGGAAACACGAACGGTAACTTCGACTCAACGGCGTCTCAAGTCTCAATCAAACTCCATAATTGAATACTCACATCAAAAGGAAGAAACTAACAGTAATATGTGTATATATTTTGGTATTTTTGAAATTCAATCACCAACTAATAGAAGCATTTTTACTTTTTCTTCTTCGTATGTATTTTGAAATTGTGAGGATGAGCAGAAACAAATCTTAAAGAAGTAATCAAAAGACCAAAAGAATTTCCCAAATCTCAGTCAATTTTCTACCTAAGCTCGAGTTTTCCCCTATGTTTGTTGGACTGAATCGTCGTCCCCTCTCATTCTCGTTTTCCCCTCTCTTTGGACTCTTTTTTTGTTTTCTGTTTTAAGCCGTTCTCTCTTTACGATTTTTGGTTCAGCTTTTTCTTTTTAGAAAATGGTTGCGTTGCTGAAAGTCAACAAAAAAGAATGGCTGCTATCGATGTTCTTTTGTTAGATGATTTTTCAGATTTTAGGCGTAGGTCTATAGGTCTAGAGTCTAGGTATTTGTAGGGTTTTGTTTTAGGTTAAGGGTATGGTTCTAGGAATTATGGTCTAGGTCCGGAAATTACACTTAAAAGGAAATAAAAGGAAATAACAGAAAATAACTAAAATGACTAGAAAATAACAGAAAATAGAAAATTGCATTAGACAGACGGTGAAAGGGTTTGAACAACAAGACAAGCAAGATAAACTGGGATACAACCCTGAAACAAACCTAGACAAACACTAAATGAGTTACTAAGACTAAAGGAACTAGGCAAAGTAAAAGGATAGAAGGGTTTGAGTCATAAGACAATATCTGGATTACAACCCCGAAATAATCCGGACAATAGAAATGACATCAAAATGAACCACCAAGACTCCTCAGTGATTAACCAAGAAAGAAACATCTTTCCAATCACCAAGCTCGATGTCCTAGCTACTGGGTTCTGCATCAATATTACTATAACCTTCACAAGTCTTCATCGCATTGTCATTAGCAAATTGTTTTTGGGTCTCTTTGGCCGGCTCGTTCTTAGGATCAACTTCCGGAACCAAGAGTGATATCACTGAAAGCTTTGCGGCAAGTGGCCCTCCGAGGATCTCAGAAGAGTTCTCATATTCCTTTTCCACACAAATCATGTCCACCATATGCGTCTCATTATGAACAGACAATGGACTTTGGCTAGTATCTGCTGTATTTGGATTTTGCACGGTAATGTCACCTACATCAATAAACTTCTGGACTGCTCCTTTCAGATGCCAACATTTTTCTATATCATGCCCCAGGGCATTAGAGCAATATGCGCACCTTTGAGGAAAATCAAAATTCTTTGGAAGAGGGTTTGACATTTTTATCTGAATCGGCTTCAACATGTCCAATTGTCTCGGCCTTTGGAACAGACTGGCATATGATTCTCCAATAAGAGTGAAGGACTTTTTCCTTTGCTGCTGCCTTCTCATTTTGTACTCTGGCCTCGGTTGAAACCTTTTGCGGGTAGGTGGTTGATATGCTTGAGGAGGCGGGTAAGATATTTGGGGAAATGGTGCAGGCCATCACAGGTCTCGTGAGTGTGGAGGATATGGCAATGTATTGTGGATAGGGTACTAGGAAGGTGAGGTATGACATTTAGAATTTTGTGGAGAGAAGTAGCATTGGGGAGAAATATTTGGAGTACGAGGATATCCATGGGGTCGATATTGAGGCTGAAAGCGTTGAGCGGGGATGCCCACTGGATCTTGTCGTTGATGGGGCTCAGCACCATCTTTTCTATTAATGGGAGGACTATCCCGAGTAACTTGTTCGTTCCATTTGAACCAAAACTCCCTAAAACCTTCCTCCGACTTCTTTTTCATATTAGATACGGAGGAGCGGTCTGGAGTAATGCCTATATTGTATTGAAAGTGTTGAACAAAATCTTGAGCCATGTCGTGCCATGTAGGCCACTTATTGACATCTTGACGAGCATACCACTGCAAGGCTTCCCCAGTCAAGCTCTCACTGAAATATGCCATTAACAAATTATCTTTCCCACCAACACTTCTCATTTTACTGCAGTAACCTCTCAGATGGTCTATTGGATCTCCACGTCCATCATATAAATTAAGCTTTGGCGTTTTAGACCCTTTCAGCTTTCTGGATATCTCATCTCGCCCTTCTTTCCTGTGAACTTTTCATTTTTAACATGAGGCTTGTTCCGAAGGCTCTAATTGTATGAGTCAGGAACCTGTGGGTAACCTCTGAGGGGTAATATTAGGCATCATGAGCTTTGAGTGGATGTTTATTGTCGGATCTATGAAGGGAAGATTGTTGAGAAGTTGTGATCATAGGGATAGTGGATATGACATGAGGGCCATTTTGGGGGGAGGTAATTAGAGGATGAATGATTGAGCTACTAGGGTGGTTAGGAAAGCTGTAATAAGCGGGTGGATCTGGAGAGTATAGGGGATCATCTGCCACTATGGCCGGAGTTTTTGGTAAGGGTAGCATCTAAGAAGCTAGATGGTGGTGGGGGTGGTGCCTTCCCAGTCATCCAATCTTGATACATGTCCGCAATGTATTGTCTTAACATCCTTACCTTTTCAACCAACCCATTGCCCTGTTCAACCAATTGCTTTCGGGCACCAGTACCAACCAACTCAATTCCGTTGCCGTCTGTCATTGCCTTTCGACCTTATGTTGTAGAGAAGAGTTATAACTTTAAGAACCACAAGGCAACCACCTTTATGCTATGAAGATGAAGTCATCACGTTAGCGTTAGGGCATTTAACATAAGATAAATCTAACTTTATATGCAATGCACCTAGCCACAGTTATCGGTTCTAAAATGACTTCGAGGGTACGAAGGTCAGTTGACATCATCCCAATTTGTTCATTTCAATCCTCTCTTTTCTTTGCTTTTCTAGCACTTGCTTGCTCATTTTCCTTCCTTTTCCCTCTAATTTTCACTCTTTTATTTCCTCTCATTTCTCACATCCCATAATTTCATCTCTCTTTTTTCTTTTCTTTTTCTCTTTCTTTTTTCTTTCTTTTTTTCTTTTCTTTTTTTCTTTTTCTTTTAATAATTAAAAAAAATAATTCGATCAAACCCTATGTAGGTTGCCTACTGTCGCACCTCCTTTTTCCGCGCCCGCGAGGGGGTGCGTAGGAGTTTTCTCCAATTAAAGGACAGTCGAAACGGGATTTGTTTATTTGTTTCAGAGTCGCCACCTGGGAATTTTAAGGCGTCCCAAGTCACCGGTTTTAATCCCTGAATCGAGGAGAATATGACTCTGTTTGTTATTCTGCGAACCAGAAATCTTGAGTAAGGAATTCTGTTTATCTGGAAGAAAGTGTTAGGCATTTCCGAATTCCGTGGTTCTAGCACGGTCGCTTAACTGTTTTTTTTTGGCTTAGTTATCTTGATTTTACTAAATACGTTTTTATTACATGATTTTATTACCGCTATCGTTTAGATTATTTACAAATTAAAGATTTTCTTGAAACGAATAACGCGTACGTATATTCGTCTTATACATTTTATAGATATAAAAATTGTGTCACGCATACGTGTACACAATAAGATTTACCATATTATAGTTTTTATTACAAATTCATATGTTCGAGATTTAAAATAAAATTAAGAACGTCATCACCCTTATATTTAAACAGTGAACTGCACATCCCGGGTTATATGAAACTATTTTACATCCTTGGAGAAATCCCTTTTATTAAATATTCACTCGAAGTTGCGCGAACGCATAATCCGAATTTGCTTTTAAAAATATAACCAGGTTATGCGAACGCATCCCTAATCGCGCAAAATATTCTTAATGGTATTATAGATTTTCTACAAATAGTTTNAGAGTAAATTTCAGCAGTAATAGCAACAACAAAGTCAGCAGAATATACCAGCGTTCAACAGATTTGAACAACAATAGGATTCGAGAAGCCCAGATGCACAGTAACATGATTTTTGGGAAAAACTTTCAGATTTAATCCAAATAATATTAAACAAACAGACCCAGACAGATCCAAAGAAAAGTATGTTTCTGATTTTCTTTTCTGTTTCTATATCTGTTTCAGATTGTGCGTATAGGTGTGTATTCTCATTTTTCTGTTTCTTTTCCGTTCTCTTCCTCTTTTTTCAGATTTCTATTTCTGATTTTTCTCAATGTATCTCTCTCTATTTTCAGATTTCTCTCTAATGCCTTCCAAATTAGATCCTTTCTTCTAATGTCTGTCCCTGTATTTATACAGGTCTGCCCCTTTCTTTTTTAAGTGCTGCCTGGACCCCTTCTTTTTTTTAAAAACAGAAAATCATATCCAAAATCTGCTTTTAAAAACTTTAAATCCCATTAAGTGACCCTTTTCCTGATTTCCAGCATTCCATTACCCTTTGTTTCCCATTATCCCATTAAATTAACAGCCACTAACATTTCACTTTCAGCAGACTACTATTAACATATTACTCTCATTGTTTTATCTGTTTCATTCCTAGAAATGCCCCTGAATCCTACTGTTATTACAGTTTTTAAACAAAAAATCAGAATCTATTACCAACCAGATTAAAAAAAAATCTGTTCAAACCTAATTATCAACCTGATTTAAACAGCTAATACCAATTCTCTTATGTTCTGGACTGAATCTTAACTGAGAATGTACCTTTCTAACACAATGGTATCTAATCAACACTTGTGAAATTGAATTTTAACCTAACATCACAATAACATTACACTGAATTCAGTACAATAATTCAAACTGAACTTCAACTTTGAACTAAAATCAAACAAACACAGGAGCATTGTCAATATACTGACAATGCCCTGAAACTTAATGTTCAGGAAACAATATATGTACAACATTTATTTTGACAAACTTATTGATTCACAAACGAGTATTAATCAACTGACTATCAAATATGAAACAACTGATTACAACAAAATAATCCATCCAAAACAGGTTGTTTCAATCAACATTTTCAGAAACATGATTTATAACACAACTAATCGACGAGCTTAATCGAGTCGATTACACACATTGTAAATAATCATAACCAACAGAAACAATTCACATTTTGATCAAGTAGACGGGTAGGAGACAGAATCACAGAAATAAACAAAAATATGAAAAAATTACACAGGTTATTAAAACAAACAACTATACATACGTAGGAAAAAAAAAAGAAAAATAGGGAAAATACCTTTACTTCTTCAAATTCAACCGGACTCAAACTCAACTTGGATTTGGACTTTTGAAATCAAACAGACCTTAGTCGAAGTATTTTCAGTTGAAAATACTTCGACTAAGGTCGATTAAACCTCAATCCCTCGCTTGAATTGAAATAATTCCAAGATTGGAATTTTTTTTAGGGTTTCAGATTTTGGATCTTAAATCCGAACACTTCTGGGCAGATTCGAAGGGAACCAAAGATGACACAAGGGTGAGGGAAGCCTAGGGGTCATTTGGTGTTAATTTGGAAGGAATC